TTTTTACATGCACTGTGTTATGCTCACCATCAGTGTCGGATTGATTCAGTGAAAACTTGATTGTCCGAGTCGCAAGAAGAAGCGGTAAAACCAACCAATTACAATCCCAGAGCCCAGGTCCTCTGGGTTCGCAGTCTAGTCTTTCGCTTATGATGCCGACAATTTAGTTTACACTGGATCCTAGGCGACAATAAATTTCTTCCGTTTTCGTTCATTGATTTTCATTTGATCGTATCGCTCTGCGCTACTGATTACGACTTCGGCTCCGTCGTACGTGAAAAGAAGCCTTTAGAATGGTTTATATAATGATGTTGATTCATTAGCCTGATTTGACAACAGGTGACAGGTTTGATCCTTGAAAGGAATCCTGGGGGTTGTAGCCTGAAACAGAAAAACCAGAATAGAACCCATTTGTGATTCGAATGTAATATATTTTGTGATGGAGCTGTCGTGTCTTTTCCTGCCAATAGTAATTATTTTAATGTGTTTCATTGTTTTCTTTGGTCACGTGGTTTTTTTAGTTTTCGCAGTCAGTCACGAAATTTTAAGCTTTGCTTTGCTTTGCCTTTCGTTTTCTCGTCCTTTTGTGTAGTTGATTTAAAGTTTTTCGAGCTTAACTGTTGCGGTGGCACAGTTGTTTGAGTCGAGTAAGATGATAGCCTGAGTATTCCGATTGTGAAGCGCTGAATGGGCCGATCGAGGATAATAAAGAACGACAAAGAACTAGAGGTTTGTGACTGATCTCGTGTTTGGATTTACATACATCACACGACCATCAAAGACCATTACAATCCAAGCTATTACGCAATCCTAGTTATTACACACATTTTGAAATGATCATTTCTCTTCTATCTCTCTTTATTAATTCAGGCTCCATAAATGTAGTGACCTTATTTATAAATATAAGACTTCACTTGTACTGCCATGTGTACCCGGTGGTTGTGTTTCCTGTACCCCTCGTGTACCTTTTTTACACGGTTGCCTTTTGCGCCTTATTTTTACCATACAGATTACCACTGTCGGTATCACGATCACCGCTATAACACCAACTGGAACACCAACTATCGCGCCAAATGATGGAGAAACATCGTTCGTGGGGGCTGAATCCTGCGCAGGGCGCTCGGTGACCGGGGGGGACACTCGTAATCCCGGGTGGGTTGACAGTGATGGCACAGAGTGACTTCCCTCTGCGGTTGCGTTGACTCTCGTAGAAGCTACCTTTTTTCTGCACTTCTCTGATCTAAGCTCACTGCACTGCTTGTTTTTGGGCACCCCTGGCACTTGGCATTGTGGCTCGAAGATATCGTTTCCGTCGTTACAACAAGCTGAACATGGTCTACACGTGCCGAGCATACCTTCTGGGTAAGCTCCAAGCTTACAGTTCTTCCCACACACTGCTTTAGAAGTGAGTGTGCAAGATTTTATGGTCTCTTGATATTCTCCACAGTTCATACAACTCTTGCACGCCCCAGCCTCGCTTTTGGATGAATAAGTTATTCCTTGTTCGCACGGCTCACAAAGTATGGGCGTCTGTGGTGTAATTACATCACCACAGTTCACAGAGAGACCCTGCCCCGCTGGACATACGAGGCAGTCCTGGCACTGAACGCTCCGCGTCACTGTATCCCAGATGGTTATATTGTTACCTGGGCATGTTGGAGAGGCGGAGACAGACATCCAGAGAACAGAAATCACGATGATGCATGGTATACCACACAGTCCATGCAAGGGAGGAAACATCGTAAATCGCAAATATGAAGCTAAAACCGTTCAGATCTGTTCCAATTCTGTGGTCAAGAGAAAAAGATCCTGAAAGAAAAATACTGAAAGTCATGCGAGCTCAAATAGAACTAGCGCTGTCTGTTACACCACCCAAATAAAGCATAGTAAGATACCCTGGTGTGAATACGATCTGAAGCAATGAGCGGCAACGTGATATCACAGTTTAAAACGATAAAGGACCATTCGATCATATTTTCGATCATATTTTTTGAGCGCGAAAGTTTAACATAAATTAAGATCCCGTACTTCCTCGAATAAAACGCTCGCTCTCTTTTTTAAAATTCTTGTGAAACTGGGTAGAATCCTTATTATATGGAGTATTTTTTTGGGGGAGGGGACATGAGCTGAAACTGGTGTGGCAAGGCTAAAAGAGAGTATAAATCAAGCAAGAAAAAAATTATTTTAACTCTCTCTACTTGAACAAGAAAGTGATTAGACAGGGCAGGAGAGCTTAGTGATAAAAGATGATGTCTATTTGCCATTCTAACCAAGGGTTGGCGTTTTTTCAGAGCGTGGAGGCTTATTCGAAGAAACACGGTTGTCGGCAAACAGTTCAAAAATATCATTCATTTCATTTTGGCAAGTTAAAGAAGGACTTAAGAGCCACTGACCGTAAATATCGAGAATCAGTCGAAAGTTGCAAACTTTCGAAATTCATTTTATTTTTCCTAACGGAACCTCTCGATGAATCCTTTTTCAAAAATCACATTAAAAAATTTTATCGCGCATGCTTTACGGTGGCCTGGAAGAGACACCGACCTTTAATGTTCATCTCGTCGTTTTTTTTTTCTTCCGCGACTTTTTTATTTTATCATGATTATATTCCCGCGAGTTCCTCTTTTCCATCCACGAGTTTTTTTTATATATATATCTACGACTTCTGTTTTCCAACTGCGACTTTTTTTTTCTTCAAGCGACTTCTTAAGGTCATAACGTAGTCATTAATCCTAATTATAGGTAAGGATGGAACATTCACTCCTGGCCTTCTTTCGTCTACCGTTTATACTTTTTCTAAACCTGAATGTAGACAAATTACAGACTATGGACATTTCACTTCCCGTGGACCACGTTTATCTGAACAAAATAATCTTCCCATTTTCAATTACAGTACTAGGAAGAACCCCTTAACAATCTTTGTCACATGAACACTTTTTATCATTGAAGAGGATGTCAAAGTACAACTTTAATAAAGAGAAGACCAGGATTAAAAAAAACCGCTTAAATCAAGTGAAATCGGTAAAATAACGACACCAGGAGCAAACAACACACGTATGGAATAAGGTAAGCCATTTTTTATCTAATATTTTCACTTTTAAATATCTCTATGGAGATCTTGTAGAAAATCCCATACAAATCCTTATAAATATGCAAATTGTGTTCCTTGTGTGGTTCTCAAGGAGAGCTCGGGCTACCTGTGGTCTTGTCGGCTGAATCTGTCATGACCGCGCCACGTGTAGCTTATCTTATTACCGTCATTTATCTCATTTGTATTTTTCCTCTTTAGGATATGAGCATATTTAAATCTATATCTGCGCGTTATAAGTATAAAAGTATTAAAGCAGCTTGATATTTCTAACGTCACTCAAACTTGTATTTGAACCAAAATTGAATAACAATGTAAGTTGGCACACAGGCAGCCCAAGCTCACTACTAGTAGTGAGCTTGGGCTGCCTGTGGTTGGCACTACATTTTTGACATTTTTTTCTCCTCTGATCATTTCTATTCTATCTTTCGTTAGTCAATTAATTCAGGCACCGTAAATCTAATGACCTTACCCTGACAACGGAAATTACTACAAAGAAGTTGGTGTTATATCAAGTTTGAATTTCGTTGTAGATGACAGCTGGCTTGTCGCACAGAAAGAGATTACAGAAGTCAACTTGATTGCGCTTATGTTTCTTGTGGCTTATGCACCACACACTCTGAGATGTTTGGTGGACGTTGATAGGAAAACGTCAACGAAAGAAAAAGGTCAATGAAAGAAAAACGTTTTGCTTATTTTACAGTCGGCTTATTATCTGGTCTCGCCAGGAAACGGGGGAGCAATGGATGACTTTCAGCCACAAAAACATTAACTTCAATTTTCCAGCTATGAAATTCAAAATGAAGAACGCAGTCCCAGCTCAGATTCTCCCCTATTAGAAAATCATCTCAGTAGAGGCTGGGTAGCTGGGGAGCAGCTATTCTGAGGATTGGCTCCGTTGTGCCTCTTCTACGTTATTAGTGCTGACTACTCTGTTACATTCATCCCACAGTCTAAGATAAGAAGCGTGCCAAAAAAAAAAAAAAAAAGAAGAGTCGCAAAAGTCTACTAAAAAAAAACTGAATGGAGATGAATAGACTTTCATTTCATTACACTGATAATCTGATAAACTTATGTTTCCCGACACATTTAGGCATTCCCAAATTTTGTAGCTTATCTTGAATGTTTTAGGACACTATTTGCGTCGTCAGAGGTTAAGATCAAGACGCTTATTTTTTTGAAATCAAAGTCCACGAAAAGCGGCCGGATAGTCTTCGTGTAGCCGTACCCTCCCCCCGAAGGAGAAACGTTTCTCCCTCGGGGAGGGTACGGCGACACGTAGGCTAATGAAAATAACACAAGGTTTAGAAATAGCATACATTTCAGTTTTACATTGCTTCGCAAGTCTTCAAGTTTGACGGGGAAAGAACATAATTTCACCTGTAATTCACTCAGGCCTGTAATTCATCTGTGCGGCACCGTCAGGGTAAATCGTGGGCGGCACAATTTCTATTTTGGTTATTGCCCTAGAAAAAATGGGACATTATGTTTTCTTTGTTATTATTAATATCATAATTAACAATTTTTTTCGTGTGTGCGTGTATGTGTCGCTATACTGAAAGAGCTAAAACATGATGCTAATCTCGATATGGATTACAAAGGGTGTCCTCAGGCGGTGTGCGCGCTCTGATTGCGTTGCATCGTGGTCGCAAAACAAAAATTGAGTCATTTACGTCTCAAGTGACGCGTTGGAGTGAACATCTCAGGTAGCAGGGAGATATGGCGTGAATATACGTGGATTGTAATGGGGATTCACTGTCTGTTGCCATTCCTTCGATTCGCAAATTACAGATTTACATATGTGTAATTTGCGAAACGGCGCACTTCTGACCTTTTGGCTCGAGCTCTTTATTACAAAATCATCACTGCATCGAGTTGTATCTACGAAAAGTGTTATAGCATCGGAAGAAATAAGTTACATATCATTAGAGTCTTCAAAGAGCTCGTTTCGCAAATTACAGATTTACATATCTGTAATTTGCGAAACGGCGCACTTCTGACCTTTTGGCTCGAGCTCTTTATTACAAAATCATCACTGCATCGAGTTGTATCTACGAAAAGTGTTATAGAATCGGAAGAAATAAGTTACATATCATTAGAGTCTTCAAAGAGCTCGTTTCGCAAATTACAGATTTACATATCTGTAATTTGCGAAACGGCGCACTTCTGACCTTTTGGCTCGAGCTCTTTATTACAAAATCATCACTGCATCGAGTTGTATCTACGAAAAGTGTTATAGCATCGGAAGAAATAAGTTACATATCATTAGAGTCTTCAAAGAGCTCGTTTCGCAAATTACAGATTTACATATCTGTAATTTGCGAAACGGCGCACTTCTGACCTTTTGGCTCGAGCTCTTTATTACAAAATCATCACTGCATCGAGTTGTATCTACGAAAAGTGTTATAGAATCGGAAGAAATAAGTTACATATCATTAGAGTCTTCAAAGAGCTCGTTTCGCAAATTACAGATTTACATATCTGTAATTTGCGAAACGGCGCACTTCTGACCTTTTGGCTCGAGCTCTTTATTACAAAATCATCACTGCATCGAGTTGTATCTACGAAAAGTGTTATAGAATCGGAAGAAATAAGTTACATATCATTAGAGTCTTCAAAGAGCTCGTTTCGCAAATTACAGATTTACATATCTGTAATTTGCGAAACGGCGCACTTCTGACCTTTTGGCTCGAGCTCTTTATTACAAAATCATCACTGCATCGAGTTGTATCTACGAAAAGTGTTATAGAATCGGAAGAAATAAGTTACATATCATTAGAGTCTTCAAAGAGCTCGTTTCGCAAATTACAGATTTACATATCTGTAATTTGCGAAACGGCGCACTTCTGACCTTTTGGCTCGAGCTCTTTATTACAAAATCATCACTGCATCGAGTTGTATCTACGAAAAGTGTTATAGAATCGGAAGAAATAAGTTACATATCATTAGAGTCTTCAAAGAGCTCGTTTCGCAAATTACAGATTTACATATCTGTAATTTGCGAAACGGCGCACTTCTGACCTTTTGGCTCGAGCTCTTTATTACAAAATCATCACTGCATCGAGTTGTATCTACGAAAAGTGTTATAGAATCGGAAGAAATAAGTTACATATCATTAGAGTCTTCAAAGAGCTCGTTTCGCAAATTACAGATTTACATATCTGTAATTTGCGAAACGGCGCACTTCTGACCTTTTGGCTCGAGCTCTTTATTACAAAATCATCACTGCATCGAGTTGTATCTACGAAAAGTGTTATAGAATCGGAAGAAATAAGTTACATATCATTAGAGTCTTCAAAGGGCTCGTTTCGCAAATTACAGATTTACATATCTGTAATTTGCGAAACGGCGCACTTCTGACCTTTTGGCTCGAGCTCTTTATTACAAAATCATCACTGCATCGAGTTGTATCTACGAAAAGTGTTATAGAATCGGAAGAAATAAGTTACATATCATTAGAGTCTTCAAAGAGCTCGTTTCGCAAATTACAGATTTACATATCTGTAATTTGCGAAACGGCGCACTTCTGACCTTTTGGCTCGAGCTCTTTATTACAAAATCATCACTGCATCGAGTTGTATCTACGAAAAGTGTTATAGAATCGGAAGAAATAAGTTACATATCATTAGAGTCTTCAAAGAGCTCGTTTCGCAAATTACAGATTTACATATCTGTAATTTGCGAAACGGCGCACTTCTGACCTTTTGGCTCGAGCTCTTTATTACAAAATCATCACTGCATCGAGTTGTATCTACGAAAAGTGTTATAGAATCGGAAGAAATAAGTTACATATCATTAGAGTCTTCAAAGAGCTCGTTTCGCAAATTACAGATTTACATATCTGTA